AGCGTATGAGCGGCAAGCGCACGCCGCGCGGCGGGCGGAGGACGGTTAGACTAGAGTACGACGAGTAGCTGAAGGTGAGGCGATAAAGACAGTTAACCTGCTAGCAGAGTAGTACGATCACACACAGTACGAGCGAGCGCGCACCGCGCGCACTGCCTGGTGGCGTGACAGGCGGGGTGGGAGGAGGTGAGTAGAGTAAGTAGCGTGAGTGACTCAGCTGAGTTGATAAAGACATTAAACCCTGGCTAGCAGAGTAGCGTACATGCACACACAGGTACGACCAGTCCTGTGAGCGGCACCGCGCGCGCGGGGGCCGGAGGCAGGTAGTAGAGTAAGTAGTAGTGAGCGAGGTAAAGAAACAGCTTAACCTGCTAGCCAGAGTGAGGTACATCACACACAGGTACGACGTGAGCTGCGCTGGCGCAGCGCGGGGCGGAGGGAGGGTCATAGAGTAAGTACGTGGATCATTCGTGAGCGGAGTTAAAGAACAGCTTAACCTGGCTAGCCAGAGTCAGTCACATCACACACACGGTCACGAACGCCGCAGCGCACGCGCGGCGGGGCGCCGGGCGAGCTGGTAGCTAGAGTAAGTAGTGGAGTTGACGCGAGTAAAGACAGTAAGCCTTCGCTAGCAGAAGTAGCTACATCCACACACAGGTCATGACGGCGCAGCGCATAGCGCGTGGCGGGGCGCGAGGACGGTAGTAGAGTAAGTAGTGCAGGTAGCGAGTAAAGACAGTTAACCGTCGCTACGGCAAGATAGCTACACACACACAGAGTCATGCAGCGAAGCGCCTCGCGCGGGGGCGGAGGAGGGGCCGTAGCTTAGAATGAAGTAGTGACGTGACGCGAGCTAAAGACAGTTAACCTGCCTAGCAGAGTACTACATCACACCACAGAGTATGAGCGACTGCGCGCGCGCGGGGGCGGAGGAGGTAGGAAATAAGTAGTGACGGGCACGCGAGTAAAGACAGTTTAACCTGCTTACAGAGTAGCTACATCACAACAAAAGCGTATGAGCCGAGCGCAGCGCGGGGCGGGCAGGAGGTGTAGAGTAAGTAGTAGTGAGCCGAGGTAAAGACAGTTAACCTGCTAGCCAGGAGTAGTACATCACAATCACACGGTACGAGTGACGCCGCACGGCGCGCTGGGGCCGGAGGACGGTAGTAGAGTAAGTAGTAAGTGAGCGAGTTAAAGGACAGTTAAACCTGCTAGCAGCGAGTAGCTAGCATCACAACACAGGTACGCGCAGCGACGACAGAAACCTGACGTGATGCGCGCGCGCGGGGCGGTGGAGTCTGGTTAGGTAGAATAAGTATGAAGTAGCGAGTAAAGCACAGTTAACCTGCCCTTAGCCAGAGCTAGTACATCACACACAGGTACGATGCCGACGCGCTGCGCGCAGGGGAGGTGGAGGAGAGCTAGGATAAGTAGAACGGCTGCAGCGAGTAAGACAGTAACCTGCTAGCCAGAGCTAGTAGCATCACACACAGGTACGAGCGACCGCGCTCAGCGCGCGCCGGCGGCGGGGAGCGGGGTGGTAGAGTAAGTGTAAGTGAGCCGAGTAAGACAGTTAACCTGCTAGCCAGAAGCTAGTACATCACCACACAGGTACGACAGTGAGCGCGCCGCGCGGGGGCGGGGCGGCAGGTGGTAGAGTAAGTGTAAGTGCAGCGAGTAAGAGAGCATGTAGACGGCGTGGCTAGCAGAGTAGTGACACACCACAAGGTATGAGCGAGCGCACGCTCGCTGGCGCGGGGAGGTGGTAGTAGAGTAAGTAGTGAGTGAGCCGATTAAAGACAGTAACTGCTTAGCAGAGTAGTACATCACCACACAGGTACGAGTGAGCGCGCGCGCGCCGGGGGCGGAGGAGGTAGTAGAGTAAGTAAAGTGACGCTGCAGCGCAGCTAGAGAGACAGTTTAGACCTGCGCCTAGCAGCATATACATCACACACCAAGCGTAACGAGCGAGCGGCTTGCCGCGTGCGGGGAGCGGAGCGAGGTAGCTTAGGAGTAAGCTAGCTTGACCGTGAAAGCCGAGTAAAGGACAGTTAACCTGCCCAGCAGCAGCTAGTACATCACACACAGGTACGAGTAGACGCGCGCAGCGTCAGGTGGGGGCGAGGAGCCTAGCTAGAGATAAGTAGTGAAGTAGTTGAGTAAAGACAGTTAACCTGCTAGCAGCAGTAGCTACACTCACACGACAGGCTATGAGCTGGACCGCGCACGCGCCCCAGGGGCGGAGGACGCGGTAGTTAGTAGGAAGTAGTGAGTGAGCGAGTAAGACAGTTAACCTGCTAGCAGAGTAGTACATCACACACAGCCGTACGAGTGAAGCGCACGCGCGCGCGGCGCGGGGAGGTGGATAGAGTAAGGTAAGTGAGTGACCGCGAGCTTACAAGACCAGTTAACCTGCTAGCCCAGAGTAGTACATCACACACCAGCTACGAGTGACGCGGCGCGCCGTGGGGCGGCGGAGGACGGTAGTAGAGTAAAGTAGTATAGTGAGCGAGTAAGACAGTTAACCTGCTAGCAAGAGTAGTACATCACACACATGCGTACGAGTGAGCTGCGCCCGCAGTGCGGGGGCGGAGGAGGTAGTAGAGTTAAGTAGTAAGTGAGCGAGTAAAGACAGTTAACCTGCCCTAGCAGAGTTAGTAGCCACATCACACACCAGTACGATGTGAGACGGCGCGCCGTGCGGCGGGCGGAGGAAGAGGTAAGTAGAGTAAGTAGTAACCGTGAGCGAGTACAAGACAGTTAAGCCTGCTGCAGAAGTATAGCTACATCACACACAGGTACGAGCTCTGAGCGCGCAAGCAAGGCGCGGGGGCGGGGGTGAGTTGGTAGAGTAACAGTATGTGAGTGATGCCGAAGTAAAACAGTATAACCTGCTAGCAGAGCTAGTACCATCACACACAGCGTTCACGAGCCGAGGCGCACGCCGCTGGGCGGTGAGCCGAGGATAGTAGAGTCACAGTATGAGTGCAGCGAGGTAAAGACGAGTTAACCTGGCTAGCAAGTAGTACATCACACACAGGGTACGACGTCGAAGCAGGCTGGATGCGCGCGGGCGGAGAGTAGTAGAGGTAAGTACGCTGAGAGTGTTCGAGCGAGTAAAATGACAGTTAAACCTGCTAGCCAGAGTAGTACATTCACACCACCAGGTACGAGTGCAGCGCGCTACGGCGGGGGCGTGCGGAGGCAGGTAGGTAGAGTAAGTATGTGCAGTGGACGCGAGTAAAGCACAGCTTAACCTGCTAGCCAGAGTAGACATCACCACACAGGTATGAGCGAAGCGAGCGCATCGGCGCGGGGCGGGGGGACGCGGTGGGTAGCAGTAAGTACGCTGATGTAGAGCGAGTAAGACAGGTTAAGCCTGCTAGCAGAGTAAGAGTACAGTCACACCACAGGTACGAGTGCAGCGCGCGTCGCCGGGCGGGCGGAGGAGCGTAGTAGAGTAAGTAGTGACGTGAGCGATAAAGGCACAGTTACCTCTCGCCTAGCCAGAGTAGTACATCACACACAGGTACGATTCGCGTGGAAGCGCCGCGCGCGGGGCGGTGGAGGAGGTAGTAGACAGTAAAAGTTAGTGACGTGAGCGAGTAAAGACAGTATAACCTGCTGAGCAGAGTAGTTACATCACACACAGCGTGACGAGTGATGCACCGCGCAGCCCCCGGGGCCCCTGCTACGGCCAGCGTTCCTCGCGCCCCGGCTGCGTGTCTCCAGTCCCGCAGCGCGGTCGCGCTGGCCGGGCCTGCGCCGCCCTTAGGCTCGTTTCGCCCGCTCCGCGGGCAACTTGGTAGGCCGGTGCGGGGCGGAGGAGGCGTAAGTAGAGTACATAGTGAGTGATGCGAGTAAGACGTTAACCTGCTAGCCAGAGTAGTACATCCCACACAGCAGCGCTATGAGCGAGCCGCACGCGCGCTGGGGGCGGGAGAGTAGGAAGATAAGTAGTGACTCGTGAGCGCAGTAAGACAGTTAACCTGCCCTTAGCAGAAGTAGTACATCACACCACCCAGGTATCGGATACGGGCGGCTCGTTGCGGGGCGCGGCAGACCTTGCTCTGGTCGCGCTAGTAGAGTAAGTAGTGATGTGAGCGCAGTAAAAACAGTTAACCTGCAGCAGAGCTAGCTACATCACACACAGGTCACGAGGCAGCGCACGGGCATCGGGGCAGCGAGGCACGGTAGTTAGGAGTAACTTAGTGAGTGACGAGTTAAAGACAGTTAATCTAGTGAGCGAGTAAAGACAGTTAACCTGCTAGCAGACAACCTGCACATGACTAAACCCATGCAGCACTACGCACCGCGCGCGTTGCAGGCACATGACCAACCTGATGCTTCGTCACATATCGATGGCGTGGAGCACGAGAATCCCGATACGCCCCATCTCCATCGACGTCATCGCCGCCGCTGCCGCCATGCGCATCAACCAGCCGGCGACGCGGCATCCCGCCGCGCGCTCCGTCTCCCTCATAGATCTGACGGTCGAAGACGAACCGGCGGCGCGTCCTGTCGCCGTTACACAACAATCCACGCGTCCTGTCATCGTTGCGGACGAACCGGCGCGTTCCGTCACCGTCAACGACAAACCCTCCACCTTCAAGGACGAACCGGCGCGTTCTGTCACCGTCAAGGACAAACCCTTCACCTTCAAATTCGATCCGCCGCGTTCCGTCACCGTCAAGGACAAACCCTCCACCTTCAAGGACGAACCGGCGCGTTCCGTCACCGTCAAGGACAAACCCTTCACCTTCAAATGCGATCCGCCGCGTTCCGTCACCGTTACGGACAAACCGGAGCAGGGGCCTGTCGCCATCGAGGCCGAGGGGAAGGAAACGCAACGCGACCGATCAGTTGCCATGGTGAATCGGACGGGAACTAGCGAGGCAGCCCGCAGTAGGGGTGCTAGCGATTCGCAGTCGAGTTGCAAGCAGCAGCAGCAGAAGACGAAGAAGATGATGAAGCAAGAGCTGAAAGAGCAGCAGCAGCAGCAGCAGCAGCAGCAGCAGCAGCAGCAGCAGCAGCAGAAGATGAAGAAGATGACGAAGCAACAGCGGAAGGAGCTGCAGAAGCAGCAGGAGAAGAAGAAGTTGAAGAAGCAACAGCGGAAGGAGCAGCAGCAGCAGCAGGAGCAGGAGAAGATGGTGATGCAGCAGCAGCAATGGCAGAAGGAGCACCAGGAGTGGCAGCAGCAGCAGCAGCAGCAGCGGTGGTGGTGGCAGCAGCAGCAACAGTGGCGGCAGCAGCAGCAGTGGGGAGGATGTGCACCGCAGCGACTTCAGAACTGCGTGAACATGTGGTCGTTCCCACCCAGCTACTGCGCTCCAGTAAACTATGACCAGAACAAGAAGACCGACGACGGCTCCGGGGGTGCCGAGGGGAGTCGGCATGGAGGTCTGGTAGACAGACGATACACGGATCGAGGAAATAACCGCTATCGACCGTATAACTTCTAGTTACACAACTAGAGAGCCTGCTAGTCATTGTTATAAATATCGAGGTAAAGTCAGGAGATTTCCACAAGAGATTTCGTTTCCGTTTTTCATAGCAAACTGCACGTTCGTTGGATACTGCAAGATGTTTTTGATTTGCTATAAATGTTTATACATTTTTGTTGTGATGGAATATATTTTTTTGATAAACTATACCACTGCATATGTAGATGGACGTTTAAAGCTTTTCAGTGTAAACATCAATTTCTCAAGATGGCAGTGTCTTTACCAGTTTACAAGTTTAGTTTAGTGAACGTCACTATGAAATAGATCTATGCTAGCTGGACCTGTGTGGGTCGACTTCCAGTGTGCAGGGATGGTAGGCTTTCTACTGTGTAGATTAACTGCATTTATTTTTTGTAGTTATGTTAGTGTATTATTCTAACATGATAATCTTGAAAACGTGCACTAATATATTGTATGACGGATGTTATGTATCCCTTTTTTATTGCCAATTGTGTACCCAGTAAACCGTATGAATACAACAAATATTCTGATAAAGTGAGTAAAAGTTAAATAAAAAAGGTTAACAGTTTAATACAAAAATGTGCAGGTAGTTTTGTTTCAGTCCAGCCTTAATTCAACCACATCTATTTTACCAATGTACGTGTTACGACCATATTAACCAACTATTTGATTACAAAATGTATACATTTAATAAATACTCAGTGTACTTGTTGTACTTTCGTTTAGATGGCTGGATATAGTGCATACAAATTGCCTTGTTCTGGAAATGTTATATTTGTTATATTATATCAGTAGTAACCGATATCTTGTCTAATGACGAATATTTTGTCAAATAACGACGTTTAACATTTTCTATACAATAAAATATCAAACTTGAGCGACAGTTGAATTTATTTTTGGACCCCATTAATCAGTCATCACTCTTCTCTTACAGTTTTACTTGTAAGTCGTAACAACATGCACACATACACAAGGACAGGGAAGTAGTTACAGAGTTGACAACTTGACACACCATCAACGATGTAGTTTATAATATATGAGGTCATGGTGACTAGCGTACAGTTCTTATATAATATTGTTTTCTAGTCAAAATGTACATACGTAGTTCTAATTGTTATATACAAATTGTCACACTTATTCAATAGTCATTAAATAGATGCAAGGTAATTCATTTAGGCTTCTGCATACACACACACACACACACACACACACACAGCATTATGCTGAAAGCATTTCATCCCAGCGCAATGTTACGTTATTTGCTCATTCAGGTGAAAAGGACTTGCCTGAGAAACTCGCTAGCACAAAATGCTTCCACACCAGTTACACGTTATTCGATATTTCCGCATATTTACCTGTGCATTTACCATTGTAAAGGTACCAGCCAGGTCACCTGCCCACAGCTTAATGGAACTTGGCCCAATGTGACTTTAACGGCACGTTTTCCTTCATACGTTTATAACTTGCTCTAGTCTGATCATTGCAGACATTAGCTACTAACGATGTTGATGCTAATGCCGTGACGATCGATGACATCGTTAACGTTCACGTTATCTCGTGGGCCTGCCTGACACCTTTCTGGCCATCGAGTGCTGGTCCTTCAAGCTTTGCGATGTACGCACATACTTGCTAGCCATCGCAGGTCCGATGGTCTCCTGGAACGATGATAACGAACAAACGTATTACCTCGTCGCTAAATGCTTCCACATCCAGTTAAATGCCCGAATTTCAGCGCTAACTCGCGAATTTTAGACGCCGCATACTCTAAAACCAAAACACAAACCATCTCCCAAGTAATTATCTAATGAAAGATAAGAATCCTACTGAACATTTTGTAAAAATACCACTAGATCTGAGATTTAGGGCTTGGCATACCTTTACTATTGGCACATGCCGCTCCACAGTAACCGTAGGCATGGGTGGGTCCATGGACCTGGCTCTTTGCTGGCTGCCTTTACCATTCCGTCCATAATTCTGTGCAAGAAACATTTCATTATGAATATGGGAGCAGCGATAGGATAAAGCAATACAATAAATTAATGCTCATTTCTCTTTTAATGAATTGACCTAATATAAAAATAAGAATGCACTACAATAAGGAATTGCAATTAATAAAACTATACTGACATATAATATCAAGAGCTCATAATAGAGAGCTCTCTAGTATGAGCTCTTGATATTATGAAGCTAATCAGCTCAAATCAGTGATGAGCGGCAGTCTAGCATGCAGACTTGCGCACACACACACCCAGTGTTGTTGTGCAAGCAAAACAACTGCACGATAATAAGGAATTGTAATTAATAAAACTATACTGACACATAAAGCTAAAAGCATTAAAAGAAGCGCGTTACCCTGTGTTGCTGCGCGGGCCTGTACTGTGTCAGCGACACGACGCCCGGAACACGCGACCCATCAAGCGCGTCTGCGCCCCTCCCGTGCACCAGGGGGCGCTGCTCCTGCCGCTCGTAACTCTCCGCGGACACGTTCGCGTAGGCCGGCTTCCCGTGAGCGGCGGCGGCGTTGCCAGGGTAACCGCCGGTCACGGACACGGGCGCGGTGTCGTGGGAGTTCGCTCCCGTCTGGCCCTGCATGCGGTGCGCCGTGCACAGTCCCTGTAACGCCTCCCTCGCTGCCGCGGGACCGCTGCCGCCACCACCAGCCGTCCTCCCCGGGGGAGCGTCCGCGTAACCCTCGCCTGCAGGCACCGCCGCCGCCGCCGCCGCCGTCGTCGGCATCACGTGTATGTACACCTGCGGCGCTCGCTCGCCCTCCGCAGTCGCCCACGGGCCGGGCGTCGCGCGAGCGTTCGCTTGTTCGTCCTGCCACGCGTGGCGCCGCCGCGGTTCGCGCCGCGGTCGTCGTCCCAGTAGCGAGCGAGGGATGGAGGCGAGCGGTTGTCGCCGCGTGTCGTCGTAGCGGCGTCGCTGTAGGCCGGGGCGGGATGGTGGCCGGGGACGCCGTTACACGCGGGCTCCCACTGCCTGCTGCCGGACGCACGCTGATGACCACTCATCGATCCCTCGCCGTCCTGCCTGGGTCTGCCCGGTGCGCCACCTGTTGGGTCGCATCGGAAACGCAGCGTCAACAACGGCCGGACAACGATCGAGTCGTCATTATTGTGGCAAAGTGAAACTAGGCAATTCGATGGTCGTATTCCTGTCATATCTTATATCTTCATTTATGCCAGTAATGCCCAAACATAAACCTGTCTACATGTTCTCACTTACGTGTGGAGACAGTAAAATAAAAACATCCACGCACGCATATTCACATCATTGATAACCCATAACAAATACAGTCATAATTATTCATGGACTGTCACTAATTGTTATCGTCATAGGTAACTATAATCATTGTCACTGCAATGCACGGCATTAAAATGAAGTCATTCCGGCATAATAGAATCTGTAAGTCTTCTAGTGAGTATAAATTATTAAAAAAAAATTTTTATTTTAATCTTTTAATTTTTTAATTATATTTTATTAGTGAGCTTGATACTTACTCTCGGACGTAGGTTGGAATGCTCCCAGTGTGTCCATGTTGAGGGCGGACACGCCTCGCATGAACGCGGTCTTCATCGAGTCTTCCCAGTCTTGTCTACTCGTCAGCAGTCTGCTGATCTCCCGCCTCGCATCAGCCAGCTCCTGCTGCGCCTGCAAACACACCAGCGCACACATTAAGCACACATTAAGCACACATTAAGCACACATTAAGCACACATGCACAAGCATACACAACACACAACAAATAAACAAACAATAAAAAAATAAAAAAGATTAAAAAAAATAATCCCGCCCCCAGTCTGAGCTCGTTTTCACACTGCATGTTGGCTGACATCTCCTGCGCTCTGCGCTGACTCACGCGCTCTACACGGCCCCGCCCCCTCCCCCGCCCCCGTACCTTAGACAGTCTGAGCTCGTTTTCACACTGCATGTTGGCTGACATCTCCTGTGCTCTGCGCTGACTCACGCGTTCTACACGGTCCCGCCAGCGTCGCTGCACCGTCGCTCGCCACGCCGTCCACGCCTTCAGCTGCAGCCGTCGTCGATACATGAAGTCCGCCACGCGACTCAGACGCGCCTGCAGAAACAGGAATCCCGCACAGGGGGCGCCGCCGGTCACACCTAGTGCGAGGTTCTCCCCGGGTCTCTATCTAAGGTTGTGGAGGAGCGTCGCGTGTCGGGTCTGACGTGCATTCAAAGCTGAAGCCGATTTACTAAATGTCCCGTGATTAGTCCTTAATCACCTAGATGACATGCCCTTAATTTCCAGATGGTTTTACCTTTTGATAACCCCAACACAGTCATGCTGTGTTTTCGCAGCTTGATGTATACGTCTCCGAACAGATCGCATTTACCCGCGTATTGGTGGCCACTTATGACATGAGTAATTAACTCCAATCAGTACAACCCGCTTCCCCGTCCCTCCCCAATCTATCTGTCGTAAACAGCTTCCTTCTGAGATTCCTGGGGAGAGCTGTGCCAAACACCAAACTCCAGACTAGGTGACAACACTTCCATATAGTAACAAAGGAATGCTGCAGTCCCTGCACACCTCTCACATCGAGATTAAACCCAACGGAATTAAAAACAAGAACGCGAGCAAAGCAAACTGATGACTATTACGCGAGCATTACCCTTCTCTTAGCTTCCTCCTGCTCCGCCCGACCGGCGTAGAACACTTTAGACTGCTCCAGTTTATCCTGCTGCTTCTGCAGAGCATCTGTGAGATTGGCTACTATCTGGTCCTTACGTTCGACGGAGGCCTGGTAAGTGTCCACCACCTGCCTGGTCGACTGTAACTCCTTCTCCAGATTGGCAATGTTTTGGACAAACCTGCAAATTTCGCACAAATCCGTATATAATTTATCATATCAGTATATAATTCTAATTGCTAAT